CATAAAAAAGAAAAAATAACATGTTAAAATGACAAGTAGAAATATGATAATGTTAACTTTATAATGTAGCAGCATATCACGACCTATGCCACCTGCATCTGACACTCCAGAAACCTGAGCAAACCTGTCCGACTGCGATATTGTAGAAACGGAAGAACTCGAATCACATGTGGCGTTATTCCGTTGTGGCACTATTGAACAAAAGACACTCCGAACGCTCTTTCAATTACCCCGCGCAATGAAGAGTGTCTTTTGTTAAAAACTTCTTTTTTGCCTCGTGTGACACCACTAGATCTTTCAAAATCAGGAATGTGGTATTTCGTATCTGGATATGGCTTCAGATATCCCCTTTATAATGGATATCCAGCATCAACCAAATAGTATTTACCCTGAAGTGGTTATGGAAATCCATGTAGGAAATTCATGTCTAAAGTTCCTGGTAGCAAACTTGAAAATACGACTATCGTGGGCGCTTCCTTCCCATACAACCATGACAAAGGTAAAGCACATATTAAAATCACATAAGGCCATAACATTTTGTATTGAGGCGTCGCATCAGCCGATGTACGCAATTTTTTCTTCACTAGATAGTCGTGCATCGACGTGTGTTCCATTAATAGCTCCAATGCAATCCTGGAGTTACAACTATAACTTTTTTTAAACTGTAACGTAAAAAAAGTAGGGGCCCGCTGCCGCAATCGCCGCCGCGGCTTTGCTCGCCCTTTCCAGCATAAGGGCTAGTGTAGGTGCTGTCCGGGGACGACGGATGATAATTTGTTTACGGGTGGCTGTTTGGTTGGCGTTGGGAAAGTTTCATTCACTCTGTTCTTGCTAAACAGTTTAGTTGCTTGATCAGTAGTTTTATAAATAATTTATTTGAAATTTTTTTTTATTAAATGAATAATCTGTGCAGCAGAGTCTGTTCTTTTCTCAACAAAATTAAAAATCACTGTTCAGACAAGAAAATACCAAAAAGCTGATTTATATTCAAATAATTAATACATATCCGATCACATCAAACGAATATGTTACACATACAAAAGTCAAACGCACATGCACATGCACATACTACTACAAAGTATAATAAGAGTCCATAAAAAAGAAAAAATAACATGTTAAAATGACAAGTAGAAATATGATAATGTTAACTTTATAATGTAGCAGCATATCACGACCTATGCCACCTGCATCTGACACTCCAGAAACCTGAGCAAACCTGTCCGACTGCGATATTGTAGAAACGGAAGAACTCGAATCACATGTGGCGTTATTCCGTTGTGGCACTATTGAACAAAAGACACTCCGAACGCTCTTTCAATTATCCCGCGCAATGAAGAGTGTCTTTTGTTAAAAACCTCTTTTTTGCCTCGTGTGACACCACTAGATCTTTCAAAATCAGGAATGTGGTATTTCGTTTCTGGATAGGGCTTCAGATATCCTCTTTGTAATGGATATCCAGCATCAACCAAATAGTATTTACCCTGAGGTGGGTATGGAAATTCATGTCTAAAGTTCCTGGTAGCAAACTTGAAAATACGACTATCGTGGGCGCTTCCTTCCCATACAACCATGACAAAGGTAAAGCACATATTAAAATCACATAAGGCCATAACATTTTGTATTGAGGCGTCGCATCAGCCGATGTACGCAATTTTTTCTTCACTAGATAGTCGTGCATCGACGTGTGTTCCATTAATAGCTCCAATGCAATCCTGGAGTTACAACTATAACTTTTTTTAAACTGTAACGTAAAAAAAGTAGAAAGATAAATGTGATGGTAAAAGCATACCTTAAAAAAATGGCATGTATCGAGGGTCGTTTGCAATTTGTGAAGGAATTGAATGAAACATTGGATCCTCGGGCTTCACTATCTTCTGGGTCAAACTAACAAAAGAGTTCAAACCGACTGAGAAATATCGACTGATGGTTTCAGATGAATGTTGGAAGGGCTCCATAGCCCCTCTTATTGATTCATTTTGAGATAAGATATATAGAGTTATTGCAAGCACTTCCCTTGGGGTTGTTCTTGCAGAGTCGTGTAACCCATGATTGATCCGGAGTTCATTTAGGAGATCATGAAATATTTCTTGTGTCATACGGAACATATTAAAGAACCTTGTTGGATGACCCTCTAATAACTCAGCAACCCATCTGTCTCCTACTTGAGTTGAACTCATACATGGGTTTCGGTCAATGTGTTTAAGATAGTAATAATACAATAAGGTAAGGGTAAATGTGACTGTGCATATGTGGTGGATATCTTCTTCATCCATACTACAAAATTATTAAAAGGAAAATGAATTAAATTAAGTAATAAGAACAGAAATATGCTATGAAAGATAAATAGAACACATGAACTATGGGCAAAATAAAAACAAAATATAATAAAATTGGCCACACAGAAACAACAACCACATAAAAAGGTGAACTCTCTAAAACATCTACGAAGGAGATTAAAAAAGTGTGCATCACATAAACATAACATGGAACAATATAAATTAAAGTACATAATAAGTCAAATATTCAGACGTCCATAAAAGATCGCAAGTATTTCACTTGATATTTCGGTTCCAACTTCATAAAAAACTGTCTGATGGTTGGATCTCGTAACACCTTCACGTATTGAATGTAGTCATCATCGTCTGCCTTAACATCATAATATGTATTGAGGACCTGAAGACACTCATCAATTGAGTTGTCCTGCGATGAAGAAGACTGAGTTTTACATGTTTCAACAGACACACTCGTGGATTGATCATCTGTGTGAACATGGCTAGGACGGTCTCCTGAATCACCTATATGCACGGTATCCATCTCTTGGGCTAAGCTGCCAAACCCTATATCATTTGGGGTGAACGCATGAGTTCCTGTAGCGACAACACCAGTGAACATTCCATCTAGTTTTTCCTCCATTACTGAATCAATGCCAACGAATTTAAATTTTTTTGCTGACGGAACTGCCTGATATAGATAACAAATGTGCATTAATAAAATAGTCTCAACTCAATGCAAAATTAGATTAAACATAAAATAAAAAGAGTTAATTATGCACCTGTAGTTTTTCAGCCCACCATTCTACTGGTGCATCTATTGTGCTCTTAACTAGATCTCAGCCCATTTCTGTTGATCCCATTTGTTTCCAATCCTTCTTTAACTGGTCTCATTTGTTTTTCATTTTCATGCGATCGTAATCTCTTCCAGTCATTTCTTTAAATTTAACCAAGTTATTTCGCCACCATTCTTTGTTAAAAAATGTAGTGGGTCTATTTCCCACCTCAACCTCCCTCACACATAAATCACAAAAGATCATAATAGCTTCTCTATCCCACATGACTAATGTTCCAGACTCTTTAGCTTTACTCATTGAATTCTGTCAGATTAATGGATAAACACAAAATGTTTCTTTTCATGGCAAAAAAATCACTAAACAAAAGAACAATTTCTATATCTACCCTCTAAGAAATCACAAAACAAACGATAGATTAATGACATCTTCATCTTTGTGACGCCGTAAATTCTTCAAAAGAACTCTAGATGACAAATCATGATAAAGATTACTAAAAAATAGGATAAACTTTTGAAAGAAAAAAATAACTTTTGTAAAGATTGTCAAACTGTACATTCATAGAAAAGAGAAAATATCTACTTTGAGAAATGTAAATATGGAAAAAAATACAACCCTCTAAGAAATCACAAAACAATATTTTCAGCTACAATATTTTAACAATCATTCTTCACTTTCTATATCACTAAACAGAAGTGATTTACCTAAAGAGAAGAACAACAATATTTTCAGCTACAAGTGTAAGCAATCAAAACACAAAATGATAAATATTTGAATAATATTTTAAACCATATCATATTTATGAGGCAGAAAACTTTAGTTGAAACAACCGAACAACGCAAAAGTATTAACAATCCTTGTAGCTTTTCATATTAACACCTGCAATATTTCAGAGTTAAGTTTCAAATCAGAACCTTCAACATATAAATCTTTTCTTTATGTATTAATTTTTTTTCTTTCACCCTTTATTTTTTCAGTTCTTCATGATAAATCTCTTAAAAATTTAAGTTGGGGGGTGGAAGAAAAATTCCTTTTTAAAGGAAAGAAACTTAATTTTATTTGTTCTCAATTAGTTATATTTTCAAAATATTTTAAAATTTAACATGACCTTTGGTAATAGAGGGTAACTTTGGATAACTATATTTATGTTTCTAAATATATAGAAAACATAAGTAAATTTTTTTAATAATAAAGGTTAATTTTAGAGATTAAGATATTTGGTAGGATAGAATAAGACTATATTTTTCTATTGTAAGTAAAGGAATTTGTAATTTTGAAGTATTAAAAATCTTAGAGATTCATATAAGAAGAAAAGAATAAAACTTTATGGAAAATCTTTAAAGCTAATATAAATTTATAAAGTGAAGGAATGTGAAAAATTTTTAACTTTAAGAAGAGTATAGTGAAATTCAAAATTATTAAAGGCTATCCATATATAGTAATCCTCACATAAAAAAAGAAGAGAAGAGAAAAGAAAAGACAAGAAAAGAAAAGGATTGAAAATGATCCTGAAGAAAAAAAAAGAAAAAAAAAAGAAAAAAAGAGAGAAAAAGATGTGAGGAGAAGCTTAAGGAGACGCCTAATAAAAAAATGACTTCACTTGAATCAACTTGAAGAAGAAAGACTTGGCTACATTCTCTAAACTTATATTTAAGTAACATATTTACTAATAAATTTTCATGAAGTTCTTTTTCATTTGGATATTTTAAATGGCTTTAATATGACAATTTGCAATTTTCCTTGAAAAGAATAGAGAATCAAAAAGCTTAGACTTGATTGCTAAATATTCTTATACCTTTATTATTAACTGAAGTTATTTTACATTTTTCTTATGTTATGCTATTGTATTTAGTGGACTAAAATATGGAAATCTTAAATTTAAATTCTTTGCCATAAGTCATATTTTTATGTAGTAAAAGAGTTACTTGAGGACAAGTAACATTTAAGTTTGGCACATTTTGAGGCACCAAAAATATATGCATATTTAGACCTCTATTTTATACTCATTTTTGGTGATATTCCACTTTAAAGAAAGCTATTTTTCATGTTTTATTGTAGGTTTTTGATTTTTAGGACTTGAAGTAATATATGCATATTTAGACCTCTATTTTATACTCATTTATGGTGATATTTCGCTTTAAAGAAAGCTATTTTTCATGTTTTATTGTAGGTTTTTGATTTTTAGGACTTGAAGTAAAAAAAGGAAGCAAAAAAGGATAGAATTTGGAGTCAAAATTACGTTTTTGAAGAAATACTCAGCGCCGACGACGCCATAATGGACGCCGATGGTGCATGCCTACAGAATAGAGGCCAAAATATCCTCAGCACTGACGACACCAGGAGCAGCGCCAATTATGCCATTTGATAGAGAGCACATAATTAATTCACGGGCTATTAACACCGATGACGCCATAATGGGCACCGAGGGCGCCGACAGAATAGAGGCCAAAATATCCTCAGCACTGACGAAACCAGGAGCAGCGCCAATGATGCCATTTGATAGAGAGCACAAAATTAATTCACGGGCTACTAACACTGATGACGCCATAAGGGCGTCAATGTCGATGCAAGACCAATTTCTAGAAGATTCGACAAATTTGGACACTTTTTGAAGAGTTTTTGGATGCACCTATTGGAAAACAGACACTGAGCTTTATTTAGAGTGAAAATTGATCAGAAAAATTTCTTTTCCACTCCCCCCAACCACTTAGAGTC